CTAGCAAAAACGCTATGCTAAGAAGCTTTCATGCCCTTGGTGTCACCTGAACAAATTCAAATGCAAGTTTGGCATTTCAACTACATTATTCTGTTCACCTTACAGCGCACAAATACTATTCTAGTTTCATATCTATGTTCACAAAAGCTTGACATGGTTAACCTAGCTTAGCTCACACAGACATTAGCACCGGCTAACACAGAAATAAGGACAATGTATGAATCTGTCAGACCTATAAAACGTCTGAAATTGTCTAAAATAATAGCTGTCTCATTATAACCGGAGTGCAAAGCGTGCAGGTTCAACTTTTACTTACTTCAGAGGAAAGATCGCCAGGACGCTGCGCCATCTTTTCCTGCCGTCTCCCGGGTTTGAATCCTGCTTTTTCCAGTCAGACAACCACTCTGCCATCTAGTGGTCATTTCTTTTAACACATTAAGTTTTCATGGATCATAAACACATATATGTCTAAATAAACAAATTTACATTATTAAAAAGTAAATTTAGGTCTATATTTTATAACTATAGAATCCTAAGATACCTTTTTTTCCCACAGAAAAACATCTTGCCCCTTAAATACAAGTTTAGACTACCGGTAAATCCAAAGATTTGATTTTCCAGCTTCAACCCAGCTTTTGAACGCACCATGCACACAAATCAGTCAAGTGAGAAAAGTCTCAAAAGGATTTTTGTAAGTGTAAAATGATCTGTGTGTGATGTAATTTTGTTTGTGTGTATCACGTGATGTGTGTGTGTGTGTGTATTCAATGATTTGTATGTTTAGGAGCTGAAGTTACACACGAAAATGTAAACACAAGTTACAAATCAAGAGTTATACACACACAAATCTAGATACACACACATTTAGATACACACAAATCTAGACGCACACACAAATCTTTAGTCACGCACACACGAATATTGATACACACCTAAATTTAGACACACATGCACAAATCTTTTGAAACTTTTTTCTCCCCATAACATTTGACATTAACTAAATTAACGCGTTATTTTTCACAGCACTAATATATATATATAAATTAAAAACAATTATATAATAATAATTATTATTATTATTATAAAAATTAACAGTATATTTATTCTATTCTATTCAAAAATGCTTTATTAATCCCAGAGGGAAATTGATTGCTGTAGTAGCTCAGAATAATAATAATAATCAAGTCATCAAAGAGTTATTGTATATTACAATGGCTGTTGGCAGGAAGGATCTCCAGTAGCGGTCAGTGTTGCAGCGAAACTGAAGAAGCCTGACTGAAGACACTCTTCCGTTGTCGGACAGTCTTGTGAAGAGAATGCTCAGGGTTGTCCATAATTTTCTTGATTCTCTGGAGAATCCTTCTTTGCATTATCTCCTCCAGCGGTTCTGAAACTGCCAAAACTCTGGCTGAATCCTTGAAAGGGCTTGGAGTTCCTCCATCTTGTTGGCCAGTGATCTCACATTGCCCATTACGATCGATGGAGTGTCACGGTGTAGGAGGTGGAGACGGCGGACCATGTGGATGAGCTGAGCAGGAGGTAAAAATGCAGGCTTCAGTATAAGTAAAAAAAAAAGGTTTAATGGCAGGATGGGATGAACAGGAACACCAACAAACAACAACAATGATCTGACAAAGGACAGGGGCAAAACAGGTGGTATAAATACAGAGGGCTAATTAGGGAAACATGGGCAGGTAAACGAGGGACAGGTGAGAACAATAAGGGTAATCATGGCAGGAGAAGAACACAGTCAGGCGGGCAGGGGCAGATCGTGACATGGAGGAGATGGTTTGTATTTCCTCTGTCTCCATTTTGCTCCCGCTCTGCATTCACACTTCTTGCGTGTTAGCTCATTTGGGATTCATGGCTTCACTTGAGGTATTATTTCAGCCTTTCCAATGTTATTCAGCCGCTCAGATTGTTAACCAGCTTGTTGCCATGGTTACACATCATAACAAATGCTCAAAAAGTGAAAAAAGCTGAACAATAGCAGTAAAAATCCTCCAAGCTTTAAAAAAACTTGTTTATCAATCTTGTGATTTTATTTTGTGAGTTAAATACATCTCCTCGCATGTAAACTGTCCCACTGTTATTGTGCGCACACATAAAGTGGCGCTTCCCTGTCCGGTGCATTCTGGGAGTTGTGTAACTAAGCTGCTAAATGATTGAAACCCATTTTTAATAGATGGTTTTTAAACAGGCTGTAAGCTAACCTTGCAAAACAACGCTATGCTAAGCAGCTTTTATGCCCTTGATGTCACCTGAACAAATTCAAATGCAAGTTTGGCAGTACAACTGAATAATTCTGTTCATCTTACAGCGCACAAATACTAGTTTCATATCTATGTTCACAACAGCTTGAAATGGCTAACCTAGCTTAGCTCACACAGACGTTAGCGCCTGCTAACACAGAAATAAGGACAGTGTATGAATCTGGCTGTCAGACCTATAAAACGTTTGAAATGGTCAAAAATAATAGCTGTCTCATTATAACCGGAGTGCAAAGCGTGCAGGTTCAACTTTTACTTACTTCAGAGGAAAGATCGCCAGGACGCTGCGCCATCTTTTCCTGCCGTCTCCCGGGTTTGAATCCTTTTTCCAGTCAGACAACCACTCTGCCATCTAGTGGTCATTTCTTTTAACACATTAAGTTTTCATGGATCATAAACACATATATGTCTAAATAAACAAATTTACATTATTAAAAAGTAAATTTAGGTCTATATTTTATAACTACAGAATCCTAAGATACCTTTTTTTCCCACAGAAAAACATCTTGCCCCTTAAATACAAGTTTAGACTACCGGTAAATCCAAAGATTTGATTTTCCAGCTTCAACCCAGCTTTTGAACGCACCATGCACACAAATCAGTCAAGTGAGAAAAGTCTCAAAAGGATTTTTGTAAGTGTAAAATGATCTGTGTGTGATGTAGTTTTGTTTGTGTGTACCACGTGATGTGTGCGTGTGTGTGTATTCAATGATTTGTATGTTTAGGAGCTGAAGTTACACACGAAAATGTAAACACAAGTTACAAATCAAGAGTTATACACACACAAATCTAGATACAAACACATTTAGATACACACAAATCTAGACGCACACACAAATCTTTAGTCACGCACACACAAATATTGATACACACCTAAATTTAGACACACATGCACAAATCTTTTGAAACTTTTTTCTCCCCATAACATTTCACATTAACTAAATTAACTCGTTATTTTTCACAGCACTAATATATATATAAATTAAAAACAATTATATAATAATAATTATTATTATTATTATAAAAATTAACAATATATTTATTCTATTCAATTCAAAAATGCTTTATTAATCCCAGAGTGAAATTGATTGCTGTAGTAGCTCAGAATAATAATAATAATCAAGTCATCAAAGAGTTATTGTATATATTACAATGGCAATGGCAGGAAGGATCTCCAGTAGCGGTCAGTGTTGCAGCGAAACTGAAGAAGCCTCTGACTGAAGACACTCTTCTGTTGTCGACAGTCTTGTGAAGAGAATGCTCAGGGTTGTCCATAATTTTCTTGATTCTCTGGAGAATCCTTCTTTGCATTATCTCCTCCAGCGGTTCTGAAACTGCCGAAACTCTGGCTGAGTCCTCGAAAGGGCTTGGAGTTCCTCCATCTTGTTGGCCAGTGATCTCACATTGCCCATTATGATCGATGGAAGAGATGGTTTGTATTTCCTCTTTCTCTGTCTCCGTTTTGCTCCCGCTCTGCATTCACGCTTCTTGCATTTTAGCTCATTTGGGATTCATGGCTTCACTTGAGGTATTATTTCAGCCTTTCCAATGTTAATCAGCCACTCCCGTTTGTAAACCAGCTTGTTGCCATGGTTACACATCATAACAAATGCTCAAAAAGTGAAAAAGCTCAAAAATAGCAGTAAAAATCCTCCAAGCTTTAAAAAAAACTTGTTTATCAATCTTGTGATTTTATTTTGTGAGTTAAATACATCTCCTCGCATGTAAACTGTCCCACTGTTATTGTGCGCACACATAAAGTGGCGCTTCCCTGTCCGGTGCATTCTGGGAGTTGTGGTCGGACTTGTTCAGTGAATTTTCTGTCTTTCAGCATAGTTTATGACACATTCAAAACCACAGCAACCTCACTTTGGCACGCATGTTAATACAGTTGTGTAACTAAGCTGCTAAATGATTGAAAACCATTTTTAATAGATGGATTTTAAACAGACTGTAAGCTAACCTTGCAAAACAACGCTATGCTAAGCAGCTTTTATGCCCTTGATGTCACCTGAACAAATTCAAATGCAAGTCTGGCAGTACAACTGAATAATTCTGTTCATCTTACAGCGCACAAATACTATTCTAGTTTCATATCTATGTTCACAGCAGCTTGAAATAGCTAACCTAGCTTAGCTCACACAGACGTTAGCGCCTGCTAACACAGAAATAAGGACAGTGTATGAATCTGGCTGTCAGACCTATAAAACGTTTGAAATGGTCAAAAATAATAGCTGTCTCATTATAACCGGAGTGCAAAGCGTGCAGGTTTAGAGGAAAGATCGCCAGGACGCCCCGCCATCTTCGCCTGCCGTCTCCCGGGTTTGAATCCTGCTTTTTCCAGTCAGACAACCACTCTGCCATCTAGTGGTCATTTCTTATAACACTTTGACTAAGTTTTCGTGGATCATAAACACATATATGTCTAAATGAAGAATTTTAGATTATTAAAAAGAAAATTTAGGTCTATCTTTTATAACTACAGAATCCTAAGAAAATTCAGAAAAGTCTCAAAAGGATTGTTGTAAGTGTAAACTGATCTGTGTGTGATGTAGTTTTGTCTTGATTTGTGTGTGTGTGTATTCAATGATTTGTATGTTTAGGAGCTGGTTACACACGAAAATTTAAACACAAGTTACAAATCAAGAGTTACACATACACAAATCTAGACGCACACCTTTAAACATAAATCTAGACACACACACACAAATTTAGACACACATGCACAAATCTTTTGAAAAAATTTTCTCCCCATAATATAACGTTTCACATTAATTAACTAAAATAACATGTTATTTATCACAGCACTAATATATTCAATTCAATTCAAATACAAAAATGCTTTATTAATCCCAGAGGGAAATTGATTGCTGTAGTAGCTCAGAATAATAATAATAATCAAGTCATCAAAGAGTTATTGTATATTACAATGGCTGTTGGCAGGAAGGATCTCCAGTAGCGGTCAGTGTTGCAGCGAAACTGAAGAAGCCTCTGACTGAAGACACTCTTCCGTTGTCGGACAGTCTTGTGAAGAGAATGCTCAGGGTTGTCCATAATTTTCTTGATTCTCTGGAGAATCCTTCTTTGCATTATCTCCTCCAGCGGTTCTGAAACTGCCGAAACTCTGGCTGAGTCCTTGAAAGGGCTTGGAGTTCCTCCATCTTGTTGGCCAGTGATCTCACATTGCCCATTACGATCGATGGAGTGTCACGGTGTAGGAGGTGGAGACGGCGGACCATGTGTGGATGAGCTGAGCAGGAGGTAAAAATGCAGGCTTCAGTATAAGTAAAAAAAAAGGTTTAATGGCAGGATGGGATGAACAGGAACACCAACAAACAACAACAATGATCTGACAAAGGACAGGGGCAAAACAGGTGGTATAAATACAGAGGGCTAATTAGGGAAACATGGGCAGGTAAACGAGGGACAGGTGAGAACAATAAGGGTAATCATGGCAGGAGAGGAACACAGTCAGGCGGGCAGGGGCAGATCGTGACATGGAGGAGATGGTTTGTATTTCCTCTGTCTCCGTTTTGCTCCCGCTCTGCATTCACACTTCTTGCGTGTTAGCTCATTTGGGATTCATGGCTTCACTTGAGGTATTATTTGAGCCTTTCCAATGTTATTCAGCCGCTCAGATTGTTAACCAGCTTGTTGCCATGGTTACACATCATAACAAATGCTCAAAAAGTGAAAAAAGCTGAACAATAGCAGTAAAAATCCTCCAAGCTTGACCAAAAAAAAAACTTGTTTATCAATCTTGTGATTTTATTTTGTGAGTTAAATACATCTCCTCGCATGTAAACTGTCCCACTGTTATTGTGCGCACACAAACTGGCGCTTCCCTGTCCGGTGCATTCTGGGAGTTGTGGTCGGGCTTGTTCAGTGAATTTTCTGTCTTTCAGCATGGTTTATAACACATTCAAAACAACAGCAACTTCACTTTGGCACGCATGTTAATACAGTTGTGTAACTAAGCTGCTAAATGATTGAAACCCATTTTTAATAGATGGGTTTTAAACAGGCTGTAAGCTAACCTTGCAAAACAACGCTATGCTAAGCAGCTTTTATGCCCTTGATGTCACCTGAACAAATTCAAATGCAAGTTTGGCAGTACAACTGAATAATTCTGTTCATCTTACAGCGCACAAATACTATTCTAGTTTCATATCTATGTTCACAACAGCTTGAAATGGCTAACCTAGCTTAGCTCACACAGACGTTAGCGCCTGCTAACACAGAAATAAGGACAGTGTATGAATCTGGCTGTCAGACCTATAAAACGTTTGAAATGGTCAAAAATAATAGCTGTCTCATTATAACCGGAGTGCAAAGCGTGCAGGTTCAACTTTTACTTACTTCAGAGGAAAGATCGCCAGGACGCTGCGCCATCTTTTCCTGCCGTCTCCCGGGTTTGAATCCTTTTTCCAGTCAGACAACCACTCTGCCATCTAGTGGTCATTTCTTTTAACACATTAAGTTTTCATGGATCATAAACACATATATGTCTAAATAAACAAATTTACATTATTAAAAAGTAAATTTAGGTCTATATTTTATAACTATAGAATCCTAAGATACCTTTTTTTCCCACAGAAAAACATCTTGCCCCTTAAATACAAGTTTAGACTACCGGTAAATCCAAAGATTTGATTTTCCAGCTTCAACCCAGCTTTTGAACGCACCATGCACACAAATCAGTCAAGTGAGAAAAGTCTCAAAAGGATTTTTGTAAGTGTAAAATGATCTGTGTGTGATGTAGTTTTGTTTGTGTGTACCACGTGATGTGTGTGTGTGTGTATTCAATGATTTGAATGTTTAGGAGCTGAAGTTACACACGAAAATGTAAACACAAGTTACAAATCAAGAGTTATACACACACAAATCTAGATACACACACATTTAGATACACACAAATCTAGACGCACACACAAATCTTTAGTCACGCACACACAAATATTGATACACACCTAAATTTAGACACACATGCAAAAATCTTTTGAAACTTTTTTCTCCCCATAACATTTCACATTAACTAAATTAACGCGTTATTTTTCACAGCACTAATATATATATATAAATTAAAAACAATTATATAATAATAATAATTATTATTATTATAAAAATTAACAATATATTTATTCTATTCAATTCAAAAATGCTTTATTAATCCCAGAGGGAAATTGATTGCTGTAGTAGCTCAGAATAATAATAATAATCAAGTCATCAAAGAGTTATTGTATATTACAATGGCTGTTGAAAGGAAGGATCTCCAGTAGCGGTCAGTGTTGCAGCGAAACTGAAGAAGCCTGACTGAAGACACTCTTCTGTTGTCGGACAGTCTTGTGAAGAGAATGCTCAGGGTTGTCCATAATTTTCTTGATTCTCTGGAGAATCCTTCTTTGCATTATCTCCTCCAGCGGTTCTGAAACTGCCGAAACTCTGGCTGAGTCCTTGAAAGGGCTTGGAGTTCCTCCATCTTGTTGGCCAGGGATCTCACATTGCCCATTATGATCGATGGAGGAGATGGTTTGTATTTCCTCTTTCTCTGTCTCCGTTTTGCTCCCGCTCTGCATTCACGCTTCTTGCATTTTAGCTCATTTGGGATTCATGGCTTCACTTGAGGTATTATTTCAGCCTTTCCAATGTTAATCAGCCACTCCCGATTGTAAACCAGCTTGTAGCCATGGTTACACATCATAACAAATGCTCAAAAAGTGAAAAAGCTCAAAAATAGCAGTAAAAATCCTCCAAGCTTTAAAAAAAAGCTTGTTTATCAATCTTGTGATTTTATTTTGTGAGTTAAATACATCTCCTCGCATGTAAACTGTCCCACTGTTATTGTGCGCACACATAAAGTGGCGCTTCCCTGTCCGGTACATTCTGGGAGTTGTGGTCGGACGTGTTCAGTGAATTTTCTGTCTTTCAGCATGGTTTATGACACATTCAAAACCACAGCAACTTCACTTTGGCACGCATGTTAATACAGTTGTGTAACTAAGCTGCTAAATGATTGAAAACCATTTTTAATAGATGGATTTTAAACACACTGTAAGCTAACCTTGCAAAACAACGCTATGCTAAGCAGCTTTTATGCCCTTGATGTCACCTGAACAAATTCAAATGCAAGTCTGGCAGTACAACTGAATAATTCTGTTCATCTTACAGCGCACAAATACTATTCTAGTTTCATATCTATGTTCACAACAGCTTGAAATAGCTAACCTAGCTTAGCTCACACAGACGTTAGCGCCTGCTAACACAGAAATAAGGACAGTGTATGAATCTGGCTGTCAGACCTATAAAACGTTTGAAATGGTCAAAAATAATAGCTGTCTCATTATAACCGGAGTGCAAAGCGTGCAGGTTTAGAGGAAAGATCGCCAGGACGCCCCGCCATCTTCGCTTGCCGGGTTTGAATCCTGCTTTTTCCAGTCAGACAACCACTCTGCCATCTAGTGGTCATTTCTTATAACACTTTGACTAAGTTTTCGTGGATCAGAAACACATATATGTCTAAATGAAGAATTTTAGATTATTAAAAAGAAAATATAGGTCTATCTTTTATAACTACAGAATCCTAAGAAAATTCAGAAAAGTCTCAAAAGGATTGTTGTAAGTGTAAACTGATCTGTGTGTGATGTAGTTTTGTCTTGATTTGTGTGTGTGTGTGTGTGTGTGTATTCAATGATTTGTATGTTTAGGAGCTGAAGTTACACACGAAAATTTAAACACAAGTTACAAATCAAGAGTTACACATACACAAATCTAGACGCACACATTTAGATACACATAAATCTACACACACACACACACACAAATTTAGACACACATGCACAAATCTTTTGAAAAAAATTTCTCCCCATAATATAACTTTTCACATTAATTAACTAAAATAACATGTTATTTTTCACAGCACTAATATATTCAATTCAATTCAAATACAAAAATGCTTTATTAATCCCAGAGGGAAATTGATTGCTGTAGTAGCTCAGAATAATAATAATAATCAAGTCATCAAAGAGTTATTGTATATTACAATGGCTGTTGGCAGGAAGGATCTCCAGTAGCGGTCAGTGTTGCAGCGAAACTGAAGAAGCCTCTGACTGAAGACACTCTTCCGTTGTCGGACAGTCTTGTGAAGAGAATGCTCAGGGTTGTCCATAATTTTCTTGATTCTCTGGAGAATCCTTCTTTGCATTATCTCCTCCAGCGGTTCTGAAACTGCCGAAACTCTGGCTGAGTCCTTGAAAGGGCTTGGAGTTCCTCCATCTTGTTGGCCAGTGATCTCACATTGCCCATTACGATCGATGGAGTGTCACGGTGTAGGAGGTGGAGACGGCGGACCATGTGTGGATGAGCTGAGCAGGAGGTAAAAATGCAGGCTTCAGTAAAAGTAAAAAAAAAAAAAGGTTTAATGGCAGGATGGGATGAACAGGAACACCAACAAACAACAACAATGATCTGACAAAGGACAGGGGCAAAACAGGTGGTATAAATACAGAGGGCTAATTAGGGAAACATGGGCAGGTAAACGAGGGACAGGTGAGAACAATAAGGGTAATCATGGCAGGAGAGGAACACAGTCAGGCGGGCAGGGGCAGATCGTGACATGGAGGAGATGGTTTGTATTTCCTCTTTGTCTCCGTTTTGCTCCCGCTCTGCATTCACACTTCTTGCGTGTTAGCTCATTTGGGATTCATGGCTTCACTTGAGGTATTATTTCAGCCTTTCCAATGTTATTCAGCCGCTCCGATTGTTAACCAGCTTGTTGCCATGGTTACACATCATAACAAATGCTCAAAAAGTGAAAAAAGCTCAACAATAGCAGTAAAAATCCTCCAAGCTTCACCAAAAAAAACTTGTTTATCAATCTTGTGATTTTATTTTGTGAGTTAAATACATCTCCTCCCATGTAAACTGTCCCACTGTTATTGTGCACACATAAACTGGCGCTTCCCTGTCCGGTGCATTCTGGGAGTTGTGGTCAGGCTTGTTCAGTGAATTTTCTGTCTTTCAGCATGGTTTATAACACATTCAAAACAACAGCAACTTCACTTTGGCACACATGTTAATACAGTTGTGTAACTATGCTGCTAAATGATTGAAACCCATTTTTAATAGATGGATTTTAAACAGGCTGTAAGCTAACCTTACAAAACAACGCTATGCTAAGCAGCTTTTATGCCCTTGATGTCACCTGAACAAATTCAAATGCAAGTTTGGCAGTACAACTGAATAATTCTGTTCATCTTACAGCGCACAAATACTATTCTAGTTTCATATCTATGTTCACAACTGCTTGAAATGGCTAACCTAGCTTAGCTCACACAGACGTTAGCGCCTGCTAACACAGAAATAAGGACAGTGTATGAATCTGGCTGTCAGACCTATAAAACGTTTGAAATGGTAAAAAATAATAGCTGTCTCATTATAACCGGAGTGCAAAGCGTGCAGGTTCAACTTTTACTTACTTCAGAGGAAAGATAGCCAGGACGCTGCGCCATCTTTTCCTGCCGTCTCCCGGGTTTGAATCCTGCTTTTTCCAGTCAGACAACCACTCTGCCATCTAGTGGTCATTTCTTTTAACACATTAAGTTTTCATGGATCATAAACACATATGTCTAAATAAACAATTTTACATTATAAAAAAGTAAATTTAGGTCTATATTTTATAACTATAGAATCCTAAGATACCTTTTTTTCCCACAGAAAAACATCTTGCCCCTTAAATACAAGTTTAGACTACCGGTAAATCCAAAAATTTTGATTTTCCAGCTTCAACCCAGCTTTTGAACGCACCATGCACACAAATCAGTCAAGTGAGAAAAGTCTCAAAAGGATTTTTGTAAGTGTAAAATGATCTGTGTGTGATGTAGTATTGTTTGTGTGTACCACGTGATGTGTGCGTGTGTGTGTATTCAATGATTTGTATGTTTAGGAGCTGAAGTTACACACGAAAATGTAAACACAAGTTACAAATCAAGAGTTATACACACACAAATCTAGATACAAACACATTTAGATACACACAAATCTAGACGCACACACAAATCTTTAGTCACGCACACACAAATATTGATACACACCTAAATTTAGACACACATGCACAAATCTTTTGAAACTTTTTTCTCCCCATAACATTTCACATTAACTAAATTAACTCGTTATTTTTCACAGCACTAATATATATATAAATTAAAAACAATTATATAATAATAATTATTATTATTATTATAAAAATTAACAATATATTTATTCTATTCAATTCAAAAATGCTTTATTAATCCCAGAGTGAAATTGATTGCTGTAGTAGCTCAGAATAATAATAATAATCAAGTCATCAAAGAGTTATTGTATATATTACAATGGCTGTTGGCAGGAAGGATCTCCAGTAGCGGTCAGTGTTGCAGCGAAACTGAAGAAGCCTCTGACTGAAGACACTCTTCTGTTGTCGACAGTCTTGTGAAGAGAATGCTCAGGGTTGTCCATAATTTTCTTGATTCTCTGGAGAATCCTTCTTTGCATTATCTCCTCCAGCGGTTCTGAAACTGCCGAAACTCTGGCTGAGTCCTCGAAAGGGCTTGGAGTTCCTCCATCTTGTTGGCCAGTGATCTCACATTGCCCATTATGATCGATGGAAGAGATGGTTTGTATTTCCTCTTTCTCTGTCTCCGTTTTGCTCCCGCTCTGCATTCACGCTTCTTGCATTTTAGCTCATTTGGGATTCATGGCTTCACTTGAGGTATTATTTCAGCCTTTCCAATGTTAATCAGCCACTCCCGTTTGTAAACCAGCTTGTTGCCATGGTTACACATCATAACAAATGCTCAAAAAGTGAAAAAGCTCAACAATAGCAGTAAAAATCCTCCAAGCTTTACAAAAAAAACTTGTTTATCAATCTTGTGATTTTATTTTGTGAGTTAAATACATCTCCTCGCATGTAAACTGTCCCACTGTTATTGCGCACACACATAAAGTGGCGCTTCCCTGTCCGGTGCATTCTGGGAGTTGTGGTCGGACTTGTAAAGTGAATTTTCTGTCTTTCAGCATGGTTTATGACACATTCAAAACCACAGCAACCTCACTTTGGAAAGCATGTTAATACAGTTGTGTAACTAAGCTGCTAAATGATTGAAACCCATTTTTAATAGATGGATTTTAAACAGGCTGTAAGCTAACCTTGCAAAACAACGCTATGCTAAGCAGCTTTTATGCCCTTGATGTCACCTGAACAAATTCAAATGCAAGTCTGGCAGTACAACTGAATAATTCTGTTCATCTTACAGCGCACAAATACTATTCTAGTTTCATATCTATGTTCACAGCAGCTTGAAATAGCTAACCTAGCTTAGCTCACACAGACGTTAGCGCCTGCTAACACAGAAATAAGGACAGTGTATGAATCTGGCTGTCAGACCTATAAAACGTTTGAAATGGTCAAGAATAATATCTGTCTCATTATAACCGGAGTGCAAAGCGTGCAGGTTTAGAGGAAAGATCGCCAGGACGCCCCGCCATCTTCGCCTGCCGTCTCCCGGGTTTGAATCCTGCTTTTTCCAGTCAGACAACCACTCTGCCATCTAGTGGTCATTTCTTATAACACTTTGACTAAGTTTTCGTGGATCAGAAACACATATATGTCTAAATGAACAATTTTAGATTATTAAAAAGAAAATTTAGGTCTATCTTTTATAACTACAGAATCCTAAGAAAATTCAGAAAAGTCTCAAAAGGATTGTTGTAAGTGTAAACTGATCTGTGTGTGATGTAGTTTTGTCTTGATTTGTGTGTGTGTGTATTCAATGATTTGTATGTTTAGGAGCTGAAGTTACACACGAAAATTTAAACACAAGTTACAAATCAAGAGTTACACATACACAAATCTAGACGCACACATTTAGATACACATAAATCTAGACACACACACACACAAATTTAGACACACATGCACAAATCTTTTGAAAAAATTTTCTCCCCATAATATAACGTTTCACATTAATTAACTAAAATAACATGTTATTTATCACAGCACTAATATATTCAATTCAATTCAAATACAAAAATGCTTTATTAATCCCAGAGGGAAATTGATTGCTGTAGTAGCTCAGAATAATAATAATAATCAAGTCATCAAAGAGTTATTGTATATTACAATGGCTGTTGGCAGGAAGGATCTCCAGTAGCGGTCAGTGTTGCAGCGAAACTGAAGAAGCCTCTGACTGAAGACACTCTTCCGTTGTCGGACAGTCTTGTGAAGAGAATGCTCAGGGTTGTCCATAATTTTCTTGATTCTCTGGAGAATCCTTCTTTGCATTATCTCCTCCAGCGGTTCTGAAACTGCCGAAACTCTGGCTGAGTCCTTGAAAGGGCTTGGAGTTCCTCCATCTTGTTGGCCAGTGATCTCACATTGCCCATTACGATCGATGGAGTGTCACGGTGTAGGAGGTGGAGACGGCGGACCATGTGTGGATGAGCTGAGCAGGAGGTAAAAATGCAGGCTTCAGTAAAAGTAAAAAAAAAAGGTTTAATGGCAGGATGGGATGAACAGGAACACCAACAAACAACAACAATGATCTGACAAAGGACAGGGGCAAAACAGGTGGTATAAATACAGAGGGCTAATTAGGGAAACATGGGCAGGTAAACGAGGGACAGGTGAGAACAATAAGGGCAATCATGGCAGGAGAAGAACACAGTCAGGCGGGCAGGGGCAGATCGTGACATGGAGGAGATGGTTTGTATTTCCTCTTTGTCTCCGTTTTGCTCCCGCTCTGCATTCACACTTCTTGCGTGTTAGCTCATTTGGGATTCATGGCTTCACTTGAGGTATTATTTCAGCCTTTCCAATGTTATTCAGCCGCTCAGATTGTTAACCAGCTTGTTGCCATGGTTACACATCATAACAAATGCTCAAAAAGTGAAAAAAGCTCAACAATAGCAGTAAAAATCCTCCAAGCTTCACCAAAAAAACTTGTTTATCAATCTTGTGATTTTATTTTGTGAGTTAAATACATCTCCTCGCATGTAAACTGTCCCACTGTTATTGTGCGCACACATAAAGTGGCGCTTCCCTGTCCGGTGCATTCTGGGAGTTGTGGTCGGGCTTGTTCAGTGAATTTTCTGTCTTTCAGCATGGTTTATAACACATTCAAAACAACAGCAACTTCACTTTGGCACGCATGTTAATACAGTTGTGTAACTAAGCTGCTAAATGATTGAAACCCATTTTTAATAGATGGATTTTAAACAGGCTGTAAGCTAACCTTGCAAAACAATGCTATGCTAAGCAGCTTTTATGCCCTTGATGTCACCTGAACAAATTCAAATGCAAGTTTGGCAGTACAACTGAATAATTCTGTTCATCTTACAGCGCACAAATACTATTCTAGTTTCATATCTATGTTCACAACAGCTTGAAATGGCTAACCTAGCTTAGCTCACACAGACGTTAGCGCCTGCTAACACAGAAATAAGGACAGTGTATGAATCTGGCTGTCAGACCTATAAAACGTTTGAAATGGTCAAAAATAATAGCTGTCTCATTATAACCGGAGTGCAAAGCGTGCAGGTTCAACTTTTACTTACTTCAGAGGAAAGATCGCCAGGACGCTGCGCCATCTTTTCCTGCCGTCTCCCGGGTTTGAATCCTTTTTCCAGTCAGACAACCACTCTGCCATCTAGTGGTCATTTCTTTTAACACATTAAGTTTTCATGGATCATAAACACATATATGTCTAAATAAACAATTTTACATTATTAAAAAGTAAATTTAGGTCTATATTTTATAACTACAGAATCCTGGGTTGTTGTAATTGTATATATGTGTGTGTCTATGGTGTGTGTGTATTTATATATATGTTTAATGTGTGCGTGTGCGTGTGCGTGTGTGTGTTATTTACATGAGTGCTCCAGCCTGCCGGCTTCATATACAATATATGTCCTAGAGCTGGTGAGCAGATTGATTATAAAAGCCAGCAACACAGGAGCTACAACCAGAGGAGTAGCCAACAGAGACTGTAAAACACCAAAATACAAAACATCATTTGGTCAATCCTCGTTCTCATTTAAAGAACCTCAGATCTGGAACAATCTACCATCAACAAAAAAACTGTGACACTTTACAACTTTTAACTCCCAGGCAAAAAAGTGGCTGAAACAAACTCAAACTTGTAAGCACTGATGTTTCTTAGTCAAACTAATTTATCTGCTTTGTGTGTGTGTGTGTGTGTGTGTGTGTGTGTGCGTGCGTGCGTGCGTGCGTGTGTGTGTGCGTGCGTGCGTGCGTGTGTGTGTGTGTGTGTGTGTGTGTGTGTGTGTGTGTGTGTGTGTGTGTGTGAGAGAGAGAGAGAGAGAGAGAGAGAGAGAGAGAGAGAGAGATGACAAATGTTATAAATGATGTTATTTTGATTATATCTAAAAGTCAAACCAAGGACTAGGTTTGCAAATTAGCCTCTGGCTAGAAAACCTCTGTACAAAGCAAAGCAACGGTTGCATTGCCATTACATGCAACAATTGTCTCTTGTGCTGTCCTTGTTCAAGAAAGCAAATAAATAAAATAAAGAATATTTTTGCATGGATTGAACCTATGCGTCAATAGATCAAAATGTACTTTTTTAAGACACAGCGAAATCTGTGCAATGACGACAGAGCCAGTAGTTAGCACTCTAATATTCATTTCCACATCTGTCATTGTAATGAAATACACCTTTGAGTTTTCGAGCTGAACATGAACGCATCATTCTGTAGCGTGGCGGGGGCGGACCGTATGACGTTGAGCCGAGACTCTTGCTGTTTATTGTTCCTTCCTGAGAACCGACACAGAAAAACAGGCTAACGAGCTGTCAGACACTCTTCTTAGACGGTTCGCACTTGGTTTTACGAAGGTGTAACGGTTGAGACAGCTGACTGCAAACCCTAGAGGCCATGGCGTATGCATATCTCTTCAAATACATCATCATCGGGGACACGGGTAAGCTGCAGTTAGCGTTTAGCTAGTATTTAGCTGCTAGCGGCGTATTTCCGCAGTGTTGGATAGTCCAATGACGTGGGAAAAGCAGAGACGCAAGGGGTGGGATGACAGCTCTAATTCTTCCCCAATAAGTTACCTGTTTACTTCAAAAATTCTCACTGGCGGTATCAGAACAGTAAAAGAGGAGTTCAGTCACGATTTTTCCCGTCCACACTATAATGTAGCCGTTGTGGACATACTGTTAGATGTTTTGGCCTTTTGTCCATTGACGTGTAGGGTGGGGGTGTTAGCCTCAGCTTGCTAACCAAACCAGTCAATGTCCACCCAACACCTGTCACGACATCAAATTAACATCCTAATCTGTGTCCATACATACAGGCCTCAAAAGCATGTTTGCGTTATAGAGCCACCCATCGTCAATAACACTGTTACCATTAGCTTAGCTTTAGGCCTAAAGCCTCGGATGTAGCCTGAAATGGCGTAGAAATCTCAGACTTGATCCAATGTCTCCTGTTAACACGACGTTTATATTTTACGAGGCTGTGTGAATTTGTAAGGTGTTGTTTCCTAAACATGTCCAGTGATTAAGAGATAATAGCCTCAATTCACTTTTACTAGGATGCTCTGATGAGGGGCCTGTTGAGTTAACTTGCGGGATGACAGCAGGTGCATTACAAATACCGCTGTTTTATTAAGATGTAGCATCATTGTCAGACTAGCTGACTGGTTTGATGGCAGTAAAGTAAAACAAAAGGGCTCAGGATCATTCACATCAAAGAAATTGGAGATATTCCGTCTAAAGCAGTCAATTTTACTTTTTAATATTTTATATTTTATATATATATATAATAGGGTCTCTAATGACCTTCTGACTCACGGTGATGCAGGGGACTGTTCTGTTCTGGTCCTGCTGGACCTGACTGCAGCCTTTGACACCGTTGACCATCACCTGCTAGTGGAGAGGCTGAGAGACTGGGTAGGCCTATCAGGAACTGCTCTGGAGTGGATCTCCTCTTATCTTTCTGAGCGCTCCTTTTCTGTGGCCGTCTCCAAGTTTAGGTCCTCCACCACCTCTCTTACCCATGGTGTCCCACAAGGTTCTGTGCTTGGGCCTCTGCTCTTCCTCCTCTATCTGCTTCCTCTTTAGCACATCCTGAGCTTCTTCAAAGGAGTCTCCTACCATCTTTATGCAGATGACATCCAACTGTACATCTCCTTTAAGTCCCATGAGATGTCTAAGCTGCAGCTGTTACACACCTGCTTAGACTCTATCAAAACCTGGATATGGGAGCTTTCTACAGCTGAATGAAGATAAGACTGAGATCCTCATCTGTGCCCCAGACAAGCTGGTTCCCAAAGTCAGAGACTCTTCCTTCTTCCATCTCAGGAACATTGCTAAGCTGAGTCCCATTCTGTCCCGATCTGAATTTGAGACAGTTATACACACCTTCATCTCCTCACGCTTAGACTTCTGTAACTCTATTTTCACGTGTCTGAGAAGAACCTCCCTCAACCGTCTGCAGGTGGTTCAGAATGCTTGTGCTCGGCTTCTGACCAAGTCCTCCAAACACACCCACATCACCCCGCTTCTCCTCCAGCTTCACTGGCTGCCAGTCAACTTCAGGGTTCATTTCAAGATCCTGGTTCTGGTCTATAGGGCCTTACATGGACAAGCACCATCGTACATTGGTGATATTCTTAGTCCCTACACCCCCAGCAGGTCCCTGAGGTCCAGTGATCAAAGCCTACTGGTTGTGCAGCGCACCAGGCTAAAGACCAAAGGTGACAGATCATTTGCTGCTGTGGCCCCAGACTCTGGAACTCTCTCCCCCTGAGCCTGAGATCAGTGGACTCAGTGGTCTCCTTTAAAAAGCAGCTGAAGACTCACTTGTTCAAGCTGGCTTTTGTATGACCTTCTTCACCACTCTCTCTTTATTCTGCTCTCCCCACCTATTCCACCTTCCTCAGGATCCACTGATTTCCCTCTTTCCTATTCACTCTCTCTCTTTACATTTTTTTAATCACAATTGTCTATTATTTGCTAATTTTAAATATATTTTTAACCATTTTCTAAATTCTTTTTTATATTTTTACATTTTTTGTTTTTGTGAAGCGCCTCGTGACTTTTATCTTGAGAGACGCTATAGAAATGATACTTTCTTTTTCTTCTTCTTTTTCAATGAGGGCACCGATTAGACCAGTGATTATGTAGAAAATAATAAAATTGTAAAAGTTATACATCTAGAGGGAAGATTTCTCTCCCTGCTTTCTCTCACACAAATGTAAAACCATTGTAGGTCATTAATTAACCCCTTTGGTGGGCTGCATATTTATTACAGGCATCTTGCAAAACAGGATCATGTTGGGGATGTTGTTTATTTCTAGTACTGAATGTTGTGTTGAGCTGTAGCCAGGCTCCTAGCTTGGTTACAAGTATGTTTGTGCCACATACTCTCAGTTCTTATTAGGAGTGTAACGGTACACTAAACTTGTATTCGGTTCAGTTCAGTGTTTTGAAGGGCTCGGCTTGATTAATTTTCGGTACATTATTATTAGATGTATTTATTTATTTAATATCTGAAGCTGCTCCTATAGTGAGCAGAACCAGGTGTCATCACAGGCTGCTAATCTAGCATGATGTATGTAATTATTTCACAGGTTATTTGCGCCACAGACATATATACATAGATGTCTCGTGGACTGACGCTGTCTATTGGAGATGCCGTAATGGCCGACCGCCTTAGATAGATTAGCCCCCAGTGCATTCATTTGTACTGAGGAAGGGGCTTACCCAACAAAAAAACATGTTTTATCAAGCTTTTTCACAAAATCAAACACAAGATATGGCATTCTAATTAAAATATAATAAAATTAAATATAAATATTAAATATAAAATCCTATCAGGTAGTCTAGAAAAGTCACTAGTAATCCCACGTGATCTGTTTTCAATTGTATGCTGGTTGTAACTGTAGGCTGCACAGAAAGGGGCATAGTTGCTCACTCTGCATTGACTTTGGAAAGTGAGGAGACCCATCCAACATGGCGGCGGCGACGCTGTTACACTCTCCAGCGCCCAATGGGGCATCTACATATTCATGCCTATGATTTGCGCAGCTCACTCATACAGACGAGTGTTGTGTTTGACGTGTTTTATTTCTTAAAAACTCACCTCACACCGCCTAGTATTTCTTCTTTAAAACTCGTGTTAAATAATGAGCGTCATCCGCAACATATGTTTCATTGTAGGATGAAAATTTTACATCAGTTGTCACAGCGGAAAAGTTCAGCAGACATGTTTGTTTACATGTTTGCCGCTGCGTGCCTGCACACTGAGAGAAGGGAGGGTGAGGCGACACGATGCTCAGTCTCTACCATCGACATATATATATATACGGTCGCTACACAGACTCCACAGTAGCAGCGATAGCCAGTTGGTATGATCTGCTTTGAAACACGTTGATCAGAATTTGCAGATCACATTTTTTAAATGGAGACCGGGCGCATGCAGCCATCATGCGTCACTCAGTACAGCGTCCGTGCGGAAACGCCAAGAAACTTTTATCCGCTGCACTTAAGGCACACAAATGTGTAAAAATTTCATTATTTAATGGAAAAAATACACCTAAACAGTACGCAAGTGGACCGAACTGCCTGAACCGAAACGGTTCAAATAACCCTCGTGAACCGTTACACCCCTAGTTCTTATGATTATGTCAACATAAGTGGGTTTCCTTAACCAGGTGATTTGTGGATAACACTTTAAAAGCATTTCTTGATGCAAATTAAGGGGTTGGTAAATCTCATCTGTGTGTTTCTGTGTCTTGTTTTGTACGGATTTAATTCACCCGACACACACACTTAAAATGTGGGTGATGATCTGTGTTTATTTTTATTTAATCACACGCTAGTTATTAAACCTGTTTCAAGGGAGTTGATCTATAGCTGATCTACTGATTCAAACCAAATCTTATGCCGTAAGGTGAAGCATTTGTACTTAATTCAGAGATTGTTGAAAACTTTTGTAAAACGTTCAGGCTCTTTCAGTTTTGTCGTTACACGTGCCGTACAGCCAGTTAGTTGTCCAACAGGACTAGAGATGTTTGTCGAATTCCACCATTTCATTCCTACAAATATCTCAAAGCAAAAACTTGGAGAATGTGTAACGACTTATTGTCGGTCTGCTTTGAGATTTTATGCAGGAAACAACCCAAAATATATTTTTAGATCAAATGTTGAATAAAAGTTCATTCGGGTGGCTCTGCTTTGGTTCTTTTAAGCTATCACAGTTCCAAGTTGCTCCTGTTTAATGAATTGTTTTAATTTTTAGTTAAGAAGTTGCTAATTTTTAATTAACTCTGCAACATAGTTATCTGTCCAGAGTTGTGGGTGTGTCGCTGACATTTTCAAAAATTAATATTAGGTCAGGTATAGGAAACGGCTTTAGTGTTTGATGATGTATAACACTGTGAGTATGCAGGGTCACCCCCGGTCACGTGTCCTCCTAATTGTTTATTATCAGTAAATACATAATTGGAGAAACCTGTTTTGCTTCCATCTAGAGCTGAAACGATTCCTCGAGTACCTCGAATAATTCGAGTACAAAAAATCCTCGAGTCAAATTCTCTGCCTCGAGGCTTCGTTTAATTCATGTTTAATTAATTCATGGCTTTGCTTATATTCGGCAGACACTGTGTGACTTTTTCATTTGTAGCACTTGGTTTCAGCTCACACCGTATGTCTGGTAGCAACACGTCGGTCTTAAAATGTGCTAAAAATAGCAGTTTTTACAACACATCAGACTTTTTATTGTGTTGTTGTTGATGTCTGTTGTCCCTCAGGATTGCTGCAGGAGAACACAGGTATTTATGAGAGTGGCGGAGGAAAACGAAAGAAAGTAAATAGATGTTTTATGATCAGTATAATTTGACATAACCACGGCAAACATGCTTTCGACAATCCTTGTTAGTGTGAGACAAAAAGTGTAGAAATTAAAACGGAC